CTAGCAATCAGATTCTTATTCGATAGTTACTGACATCTTAAAAACACACTCTTAGTCATTTCTCACCCCAAATGGTTTTGTCTGTTCCAACGCAATAACATTCTGATGAAATTCTAACCCGAAGGGAAAGAGGAGAAATACCAATAAGATGGAGTATATCTGCAGAAACCTTACGAGTATTAATGATTGCCTTTATGGCTTATCTATTTATTTTGTCTTACATTGGCTCAATTTTTGTTGCCCCTATTCACTCAAGCAAAATAAGAGCAAACATGTGAGATGAATTCATGAAGGAGCTGTAGCCACCCTAGGTCGCATTAGGCGATGAAGGATTTATAGTTAAAATTTCTCACAATTGTCTCAGTAGGCTCTATATTACCAGTGAGTTCCACTTAGCCTTGCCCCCAAATTTACTTTCAGTATCAAATCCTTCCAATTATATATACATATACATATGTATATACATATAGATATATATAGAGAGATATATAGATATATAAGTTTACTGGCCTCATCAGCGATTTGGAAACTACCTCATTATTGGTCTGACCACCTCTTCGGTGTTAGGACCCAGTTTAGAGTTTGCTCGGTTTGTGAGTGCATTTCGGAATGATTCAACTAGTAGAATGGCCTGAACGATGCAATGGATAGATAAAAACGCTTCCACAAACCAAAGGGTTATTTATAAGCGCTAACTATCTCAATGTAACTCATAACTGTTTAATCAACTGATCTTAGCGAATCATCTATCATTTTTTGTATCGTATTTTTCTGACCCTTTAGGTCTGTCTCTCGCGACATGAGGCTCGTTGGGCGCAGCTGCTGGCTAGCGTGGACAGACGGGCCCGAGCTGTACGTGAAGCCTGTGGAGAGACTCCAGAAGTCGTCCGTTTGGTGGAGTCCACTGTAGACCGTCTCGTCTCAAAGTGGAGCCAATTAGCCGAACCGCCGTTCTACTGGGACGATGATGAGGGGCTGGATGACGCCGAAGTTGACGTAGGTTCCCTTAGCTAGCTTGTATAGCTCGATTTAAGAATACGTAGTTTGCCCATAATTAAATGCTGGATCATAAGACATATGAATCCTATGCCTATGTTCTTGCACAGTAAGGCTGGAAAGATCGAAAGGCTGCTCATCCTCTGTAGCCTCGGGCATTTTCGAGAGTTTTG